GTGGTGGTGGTGAATGGTAGTGATGATGGTAGTAGTGGTAGTAGTGGTGGTGGTGGTGAATGGTAGTGATGATGGTAGTAGTGGTAGTAGTGGTGGTGGTGGTGAATGGTCGTGATGATGGTAGTAGTGGTAGTAGTGGTGGTGGTGGTAATAGTGGTGGTGATGGTGGTAGTGGTAGTGATGGTGGTAATGGTGGTGAATGGTAGTGATGAGGGTAGTAGTGGTGGTAGTAGACAATTAATAAGTAAAACAAACTTAACTTCACCATCATCGTCACTATACCTTACTGGGTGTAGACGTTACCTGTTACCTGGTTAAGACTAATTAGTGAGTCTGAGGGAACACCTGTCTACTCACTAAGTATGTATGTCTTATTACAGTCTCTGGTCACTTCCGACGCCATGTTTGATTATCGTCCAATACAAAGCTGGAGTTGAGCTGTGTTGTGTGTTGACGTCATCATCTGAAGCCTTACATATGTCTCTCTTAGACTGAAGTGTCGCGAGGGTTGCCAGGTAGTAAATATGGGTTAATTATTCACTAGGTACACACACCTGCACACTGAACCTCACCTACACCCCCCCTCCCCTTCTCTTCATCTACTTGTGGGGTATGGGATGTTTGGTTCACACTCAGGATGGGATGGAGAAAGGAAACTCACAATGTGCTCTCTGTATACATGTTGTATTGGATGTACAATGCAGCTTGGTGCTGGGAAGGCAGCATGGTTACAAGCGTGATGTAGAGAAAGCTGGTTGGTGAGGATGCTCAGAGGAGGACAGCTTGTGGGTCGCCATGCTCGCCGGCGGGAGAGAGGACCGCCAGGCAGGCGGAGGAGGTGGTGTTGCTTGCTGCGGCTGTAGCTAGAAGAAGAGGGAGGGCACCACGAGGTCAGGTCTTAAATAGCGGGGGGTAGGCGTGGCTTAGTAATTGACCTCCGTGATGTAAGGCGGCGCAGGTTGACCTAGACCACGAGGGAATTCGCGGGGTCGGCTACTCAGCGACAACAGCGCTTGTAGGGGAGGAATCCACTACATACTCTCTCCCTCACCGCTGTCAACCAAACAACCTTTTTCCGTTTTTTGTTTATATTACAAAAAAATATTAACCATCCTTGGGTCGAAACCATTTCCCATTTTCTACCACTTCCAGTTTACTTCAACTTCCCATTTTCTACATCAAAGGGATAACTCAACCTTCATATGATCACTGTGTCTCGGTCACCCTTCAAGGCCGAGTATCGAGTGTCACCTATTGGCCCTCAGGTAAGTGTAGTGTCAGGTGGAGTCCCTCAGTCAATATGTGTTATTTGTATGGTTAGATTCCCTCACCCTTGACACACTTCCTCACTCCCCTCTCACTCTCTCACCCTTACTCACACTCTCACTCCCCTCTCACTCTCACTCACCCTCTCACTCTCTCTCCCTCACTCTCAGTATGTACAGTGGTCAAAACCTCACTATAGTAGCTCAAAGGGATGGCATTTAAACCTGACATTTATGTGACCTTTATGAGCCTTTGACCCCTGACCTCTCACAAGCTGGACCTCTGACCTCTCTAAGTTGAAATGTTATTCAAGTATTACCGAAAATTGCCTACGACTTGTTGGTTTAGCAGTTTGCCATACATACATACATACATAAATACATACATACAAACATACATACATACATACATACATGCATTACATACCATTCATACCATACATACATACATACATACATACATATACACTATACATATACACTATATCTTTGACCACCAAAGGGTCAAGACGTACCTGGCGCTCCTCTCGGAGCAGCCAGGTCAACTGTTAAGTTGGCCCATACCAACCCCCTCCCCTGAACCCTCCTCCCCACCGGAATATCAACAAGTTCTCGCCAGAAGTTACAATTTCATTTAGGAAAGGAACGGAACCAGTGTTAAACAGAGGTGAACAGTGGTGAACAGTGCTTAAGTCAGTGAGAACAACTCAACAGTAACAGTCGTACCCAAGTTAACATTCACACAGTGAGGTCCCAGGTACCCAGTGATAACGGCCCGTGAGACCCAACAACAACCAGTGATGTGTTAATCCGTCTACGATAGGAAGGCCTGGGACCAAACCTCACTCATATAACACCATCTGTGAGGGAATTACTACACCACATGTCCCTCATAACACACACACACCATCTGTGAGGGGAATTACTACACCGTCCCGGGTCCCTCCTTAACACCCATCTGGCAGGGAATTACTACACCATTAAAGTCCCTCACTTAACGCACACCATCTGGCAGGGTACTACACCACGTGAGGCCCTGTAACACCAGCTCAGCAGGGGAATTACACCACGTCAAGTCCTCGCCAACACCATCTGTGAGGGGAATTACTACACACCACGTCAGGTCCCTCGCAACACACCATCTGTGAGGGGGTACCACCACGTGGTCCCTAATAACTTTCATCTGTGGGGAATTGCACCACGCGGGGTCCCTCATAACACCATCTGCGAGGGAATTACTACACCACGTCAGGTCCCTCATAACACCATCTGAGGGAACTACTACATCACGTGAGTTCCTCCTAACACCATCTGGGAGGGAGTTACTACACTACGAGTTTGCTGTTCAACACCTACAATAATCTGAATGTTCACTGTATGTTCCTTTACCTTTCTCTAATGAAGGCTTTTGTTAAACCACCAATGTATGTAATAAGTCATTTATGTCCAATGTATATTTTCAGCCTTCGGGCTGCAGAACTTTTTCAATAAACCGTCAATTATTATTATTAGTATTATTATTATTATTATTATTATTATTATTATTATTATTATTATTATTATTATTATTATTATTATTATTACATACATACAGTGAGTCAGCAGAAGCCTCACCACTGTCAGCTTGATACGCAAAACACACAACTAACTTAATGAATACATATGAAGATGAATAATTGAACAGGTAAACGAATAACAAATAATAAATACTAGTTGTTGTTGTTGGTGGTGTAAGTGTGGCCACAAGGGGTCACAAACCTAAACCAGATATAACAATAGACACCCTCAGCTTCTTCTGTTACAAGAGAATGAGTGGTAATGATTCTTCCAGTAACCGACGTTCATGGTTGTCACACACACATATAATATACTGTGAGCAGCGCGGCATCTTGGTGTAAATCGTCAATTAAATCTTATTCGTGAGAAACATTTTTACAGGAACATCCAATTTACTTCCTTTCAGTTTATTAATTAAGTTGAGGAAGAAAAATACGGCCAAACTTATAGAGGCAGGAGGCCCGAGGTGGGTCTCAACACTCTCCCCACCAGCTCCCATTTTCTCTTTCCTATAATTGTTTATAAACTTTTGTAACAACATAAACAAGTTTCTTATTATTTATAACAATATTTTCCCCCCTCACCCCCCTAAACTTCTCAACCCCCCTTCACCCCCTCCTCTTCTCCCCACCAAGACACCACCACTGCAGTGTTAGCGACCACTGGCGACAAACAAGGGTCGTGGCGGACACCTCACGACCACAAGGGAACTGTCGCGGGTCGTCTTCCCTCTCCAAGTGAGCTAGACACTGCGACAATGGATGTCTAGACCATACTGTGTGTACATATGTCTGTATGTATGTATTATACCTGTACCTGCTGACACCTGTACTCTAATATACTACACATACATCCCTTATACCTGTACCTGCTGACACCTGTACTCTAATATACTACACATACATCCCTATAAACCCAAAAACCTCAACAACTACTGGGACGAACTTAATAAAACTTTAAACAGGAACGAGAAAAAATCCAAGGACTAAATATTCCAAGTTGGTCAAGGTCAAGGGTCAAGGTCACTGGACGGCTCAAGGTCACGGCTCAAGGTCACTGCTCATGGTCACTGGACGACTCGCTGATGACACTAAAATAGTGCGTGTAATTAAATCTGACGAGGACTCCGCAAAACTATGGGAAGATGTGAACAAATTTTTCGAATGGTCTGAAAAATGGCAGATGAAATTTAATGTAGACAAATGTAAAGTACTTAGTCTAGGAGATGTAAAAAGAGACACCAGATGAACAACGACGTTATAGAGAAACCCGATGGAAGAAAGATTTAGGAGTAATGATAAGTAGGAATCTTAAACCGAGTCAATGTGTATTTGCTCGAAACACGGCTAACAAAGTACTTGGGTTCATACAAAGGAGTGTTAGTTACAAAACTAGAGATGTCATCCTAAAACTATATCTTGCGCTTGTGAGACCTCACTTGGATTACACAGTTCAGTTCTGGTCACCCTCCTACAGACTGGATATAGAATCCCTAGAAAGAATTAAGAGGAGAATGACAAAACTAATCCCGGGCATTAGGAACCTTGAGTACAGAGACAGGTTTAAGCATCTTAATTTACACTCCCTCGAGAGACGTAGAGTGAGGGGTGATATGATCAAGGTGTATAAATGGAAGTCAGGGCTAAACAAAGTGGACATTACAAAGGTACTCAAACTATCCAGCCAGGAACGAACTCGTAGCAATGGTTTTTAAATTAGACAAATTTAGATTTAGACGTGAGATAGGTTTAGAAATAGAGTAGTGGATGAGTGGAACAAGTTACCAAACCTCATCATTAACTGGAGCGCGATAGGGGTTGGGTGTAAACAGGACTGCCCAGTATGGAACAATAGGCCCGCTGCAGTTTCCTCCATTCTTACGTTCAAGGTCAAGGCTTAGGGTCACGGCTCAAGGACAAACAGGGTCACTTCACTCCCCTGAGGCTCTACCTTTAAAACTTGCCTATCACTGCTATTATCCCAACTACTACTACTACCACTGATATTATCTCCACTACAACTACTACTGTAACTATTACCACTACTACAACTTCTACTATTACTACTACCATTACAACCACTAAGAACCACAATTAACACAATGCTTCATCAGAAATAATCAAACGAGTAACCAAATAAAATAAAATTAGTCAATCCACCACCTTCTTTATATCAAGGGTCCCTCAGTGATGATGTTTATACACACAGTGGAAAGTTAATGCAATATTCAACACTTAGCAATACACACACACACACACACACACTTGTCAACCCTCAGTGAGACAGGACGTGCCCGAAGGCGCTCCCGGTTTTAGCAGCCAGGCCGAGTCTGTTTGGCCCTGCCCACTCCCCCTGCTATACCCCTACCAGCCTTACTACACCAGGATCGATTCAGCAAAACATTCTAGTGATTAGTGAACGATTGATTACGGAGCAGTGTTCCTATAGTGCACTTAAGGAACTTTCTCGGCAAAGCATTCTAGTCATCAGTGCAATAAGTGATTATCATACAGTGCTCGATAGTGCACCCCAAGGAAAAGTCAGACAGTGGGCACTTTATCGGTCACCTTTAAAGTGCCAGTGACAAGGACCACCGCGGTGTTTACATATATCGTGAATACTGTGTCGGCAACCCCAAGCATCAGGGACAAGGACCCACGGTCCTTACGACTGACAAATATTAACAGATGTCTACCAGTGTCAGTGTCCCTCAAAGTGCCGCCAGTGACAAACACTTCCGTCCGCCCACAACAGATCTCAACAGATGGCCACCAATCACTTACTCCCGACGCAGTCTGTACCATCTAAAGCGTGGGAACGGTTATCCTGATGGCAGTGTTATCGCGCGACTCAAATCACTGAATATATTCCACGCGCGGAGCCGTAGACAAGGCCGTCATACACATAAGCCCATTAGAACCGTAACCTCCACTAGGAAACCGGAGAAACCCACCCCTGACAGACCATACCACCACACTGAAGTTCCACGGATATGGTATGATCTCCCGTCTTTACTGCTATCCAACGTCACTTCCCTAGCTAACAAGTTCGACGAGCTGGCAACTACAGTCAGGTCAACCGCCGCGAGCGTCGTTGCCATATGTGAGGCTTGGCAAATTGTGCCTGAAACGTGTCATATTGAGGGATATCAACTCTTTCATCACCTTCGTTTACAAAGACGCGGAGGGGGCGTTGCCCTCTTCTGTCAAGATGACCTACGCCCGTCACGCCTGGATGTTCAAGTCCCAGCAGATGTGGAAGCATTATGGGTACGTGTCGTGCTACGGGCCCACCCACGCAACACTGCTTCCATTATAATCTGTGTGGCATACCATCCGCCTCGATCACCCACCAGAGACACTCTTATCAATCATCTCATCACCACCTCAGACCACCTCAGAGTTAGGTACCCATGTGCCAAGTTAGTATTATGTGGGGATTTAAATGAAATTGACACCACTGATATCCAGGACCAGCTATCACTATCACAAGTTGTGACCTTCCCCACACACGGTCAAAATACCCTTGACCTTATCTTAACTGACTTAGCGGACCAGTACCAACCACCTCAACCAATGCCTCCTATCGGGTGTAGCACACACTTATCAGTGCTCTGGTCCCCAGCTGCCACTCCCACTCAAGTACAGAGACCCTACATCAAGACCTACAGGCCGATTACTGACTCTGCAGTGCGCCTCTTCGGGCAGTGGATAGTTCACCATCCCTGGACTGAAGTACTTAGCGTGGATGACGTGGAAACCAAATGGATAAATTATACCAACACCACCACGGAAGCTCACCACCACTTCTTCCCCGAGAAGTCCGTCAGATCTCACCCAGCTGACTTGCCCTGGATCACACCTCGGATCAAAAGACTTATGCAACAGAGAGACAGAGCCTTTCATCTCAATGACCACATCCGCTACAGGTCACTTCGCAACTGAGTCATCCGCGAAATACGCACTGCAAAGAAGTCCCACTACCCAACCAAATTACAACACCTGAAGCAGACCAACATCAGTCAATGGTATGGTAAGCTTAAAGAACTCTGTGGACTAAACAATATGACACACCCCCTCCCCTTCCTTAGCCATCTCACTAATGTTGACGCAGCTGAGCAAACAAATAACCATTTCGCTACTATATGCCAGACGCTCCCACGGCTTGACACAACCACTCTCCCTGCTTACCTACCAGCCCCCCTTCCCACTGACTTAGTAGAAGAATTTGACGTAGCAAAACGCCTGGACAAACTAAAATTAAAACGCTCTACCACCCCCATTGACTTACCAATGAAACTCTTCAAGGAGTTCTCCCCGGAGCTTGCTAAACCCCTCTGCTCCATCATCAATGCTTCTCTCAGTCAAGCCAGATGCCCAGCTGACTGGAAGACCTCTTATGTATCACCAGTGCCCAAGTCAACCAGCCCACAATCCTTAAATCAGCTACGACCTATTGCAATCACCCCAATACCCAGCCTAATCTGTGAAAGTTTTGTGTTCGACTGGGCTTATGCTGATATTGCAGGAGTCGTAGACCCAGCAATTTGGCAACATGAAAACTTCCTCCACCACTCACTGTCTTGTCAGCTTTCTCGATTACATATACCGCCATCTCGAGAAACGAAAACGTCTGTAGCTGTCGCCTTCATTGATTTCTAAAGCGTTCGACCTAGTCGACCACAATATAATCATCAACAAAGCTATTGACCTCGGGCTTCGGAAGTCTTATACCATGGCTTACAGACTTCCTCAGTGACCGACGCCAAGCTGTACGCTTCCGAGGGCTGTCTCCACCTTTCAGTCACTCACCTGTGGCGTCCCCAAGGCACCAAGATGGGACCACTCTGCTTCCTTATGCTCATCAATGATGCCCTAAGAGAAACCCCTGCTCGCTGGAAATATGTCGACGACTCCACCATTGGGATCAGCGTCAACAATTCTGCTCCCAACTATACCGCCCTTCAGGATTTATTGAACAGTCTCCAAAACTGGGCCACCAACAACCATGTCACCATCAACCATACCAAGACCATGGTTATGCATCAACCTCTCCTCCGACATTGTCCCACCTCCTTCCATTACTCTAGGTCCGAACACACTCCAGGTTGTAGATTCCACGAAGCTCCTCGGCGTCACCATAGACAACAAACTAAATTGGAAACCACACGTCAGTGAAGTTGTCCTCCAGTTTCCGTCTCCACCTCCTCCGCCGACTCAAGTCCCTCGGAGTTCCTGCACCGAGCTCCTCAGTGTTTACACAACATTCATACTTCCCAAGCTCACCTATGCCTCCCCCACCTGGTCTTCCTCCCTAAATGCCACACAACGTAAACACCTAGAAAAAGTGCAAAAGAGGGCATGCAAGATTATTCTCTCCCCTTCCTACTCCACATATCAAGAAGCGCTCAACACACTGACCCTTTCGACTCTCACTGACCATCACCACGACCTCATCTGCAAATTTGGTAAGAAGCTTCTACACCATCCTCGACACCGGCTCCTACTACCACCTGAGATCCCTTGTCCGAGAATTGCTGTTCGACACCACAACCGCATCCAGCCCATACGTGCACGAACTGATCGCTATAAGAACAGCCCAGTCCCAACCATTGTAAAAATTATCAATAACTTGTAATAAATCAGTGTATTCACTCCCAGTAAACACTGCTCCTTACACTGTCACTATGTTGAAATGAACTGTAGTTTGAGCTTTTCCCCATCTAGTTATTATATGTCTTATTTGTGTCACTTATGTTACTTGTATATTATTTGTAATTCGTAACCCATTCCCCAAATATGTAACTGTATATTTTCAGCCTTCTGGCTGCCAAGCTCTTTCAATAAACCGTTAATTATTATTATTATTATTATTATTATTATTACACACACACACACACACACACACACACACACACACACACACTCCTTTCAACGTTACTTTCTACACTGGAATAAACTTTTGTATAATATTTCAACGTTGGGGTTAAGTTTTAAGGTTAACTCAACGTTGGTTTTGATGTAATACTTGTGTTATGTTATAATACTTGACTATTAAGGTCTTCTTTATGTCAATTTAAAACTTTCCTGATTAATATTTATCGTATGGAAGAGGATAAAAAAATAAAAATAAAAATAATAATAACAAGATAATGAAGAAGAAAATAGAAATAATGAATAATAATAATTAATGATAAGAAATGATTGCTTATAACACACTATTTAGACTCCTCGACACGGATCAAAACATCATCAGAGAGACACTTACTGTGGCAAATCTGAGGGTGGTGTTGGCCATGGTAGATGATAAGGCTCGAGTGAGTGTGGTGGTCGTGGTAGAGAGGCGGCGGTGGTGTGGTAGTGGTGGCCGTCACGAAGGGCTTCACGCTATTGGGAGGCAGCACCTACGACCCAACCTCCAAACACACACATACACACTGTAGCCAGAACCCAGTGGCATCACACCTTAGCTAACTCTCTTCATTACTCCTTCAAACTAACCTGATTTTGGGTTTAACTAATGACGAGATGTTAAATAGGGATATCTCCTAGTTAGATATAAGAATTAATTAGTGGTTTAGGGGTTGTTAAGGTGTTGTGATCACATGTATGGTGGTTGTAATAGTAACTTCAGGCAGGCGCACAGACGTATGAGTTAGAGAAAACGTGTGTTTATTTAATAGGAGTAACTCTGCTAGAATGACCCAACTCCTATACCTGCTCATTTATTCCTAACATATTTTAATTAATTAGTTTACTTTTGATATAAGCGTTACTTATATGCACTTATCACCTAATATAATTAATGAAAATTAAACTAGCACTAATATTACGTATGAGGGAGATAGAACAAAATGGGATAAATAATAAAACTAAATCTAACCCACAGATGCGTTATGTTACTAAATCATTATAACACAACAATAATAAACTATGGAAGGAATGTAATTAGTGTAAGGTAAGTTAGTCAGGTGATAAAGGTAATATTATCACCTGTTAAATTACTGTAGTTGCAATATTTACTCTTTCTTCCTCATTGATGATTACTGACTGTTGCAGATGATAAGTACCGTGTGTGTTATGTACTCAGTGCTCTCTGTAATTATTAGGAATGTTTATCAAGTTCTTAGATGTTTGGTGTGTGTGTGTTTTTTTAAGGAGTCCTTTGATGTTTGTGTTTATAAAATTCAATACTTGCTTAGTATTTAGGTAAGAGTAATGCCCCTCTTCCTGAATAGCGAGGAAACCGACAAGTGAGGGTAGGGTAAGGTAGGGTAGGGTAGGGTAAGGTAAGGTAGGGTAGGGTAAGGTAAGGTAAGGTAGGGTAGGGTAAGGTAAGGTAAGGTAAGGTAAGGTGAGTAAAGGTAAGGTAGGGTGGGGTAGGTGGGTAAGGTAAGGTGAGTGAAGGTAGGGGTGGGGTAGGAGTGGGTGGGAGTGGGGAGTGGTAAGGTAGAGTAAGGTAAAGGTGGAGTAGGGTAAGGTAGGTAAGGTAAGGTAAGGTAAAAGGTAAGGTAAGGTAAAGGTGGGAGTAGGGTAAGGTAAGGTAAGGTAGATGGAGTAAGGTAAGGTAAGGTAAGGTAAGATAAGGTAAGGTAAGGTAAGGTGGAGTGGGGTAAGGTAAGGTGGGTAAGGTAAGGTAAAGGTAAAAGTAAGGTAAGGTAAAGGTAAGGTAAGGTAAAGATAAGGTAAAAGGTAAGGTAAAGATAAGGTAGGTAAGGTGGGAAGGTAAGGTAAAAGGTAAGGTAAGGTAAGGTAAGGTAAAGATAAGATAAGATAAGATAAGATAAGGTAAGGTAAGGTAAGTAAGGTAAAGGTAAGGTAAGGTAAGATAAGATAAGATAAAGATTAAGATAAGATAAGATAAGATAAAGATAAGGTGGGTGGAGTAAGATAAGGTAAAGGTAAAGGTAAGGTAGGGTAAAGATAAAGATTAAGGTAAAATTAAAGGTGGGTAAAGGGTAAAGGTGTAAGGTAAGGTGTAAAGGAGTAAGGTAAGGATGGGTAAAGATTGGAGTGGGATAAGGTGGAGTAAAGGTAAGGTAAAGATGGGTAAAGTAAGGTGGTTAAAAGGATTAAAAGTTAAAGGGTAAAGGTAAAGGTAAAGGTGGGTAAGGTGGGTAAAGGTGGGAGATTAAGGTAAAGGTAGGTGGAATGGAGTAAAGGTGGGTAAGGTAAGGTGGAGTAAGATAAGGTGGAGTAAGGTAAGGTAAGGTAAAGATGGAGTGTTAAGGTAAGGTGGAGTAAGGTAAGGTAAAGGGTAAAGTAAGATGGAATTAAAGATTAGATAAAGGTAAGGTAAGATAAGGTAAGATTAAGGTAAGGTAAGGTAAGGTAAGGTGGGGTAAGGTAAGGTAAAGGTGGGTAAAAGGTGGAGTAAGGTAAGGTAAAGGGTAAAGGTAAAGGGTAAAGGTAAGGTGGGGTAAAGGTAGATTAAAGATTAAGGTAAAGATTAAGGTAAGGTAAAAGGTAAGATGGAGTGGTAAAAGGTAAAGGTGGGTAAAGGTAAAAGGGTAAAGATTGAATTAAAAGGTAAAGGTAAAGGTGGGGGTAAGGTGGGTAAAGGTAAAGGGTAAGGTAAGGTAAAGGAGTAAAGGTAAGGTGGGTAAGATGGGTGGTGTAAGATGGGTAGAGATGGGAGTAAGGTGGGGTAAAAGTTAAGATGGAGTAAAGGTAAAGGTAAGGTAAGGTAAGGTAAGGTGTTTACAGATTACCTTGAGAGAATGTTTCACATTCGTCCACACATAACTGTAGTCTTCATAAGGTCAGCTGTCAAGTACTGTACACTAAAAATTAATGAACATAAAAATATAACAAAAATACTACGAAATAATAAAACAAAATGGTGTAGAAAAATAATAACATTCTCTTATGAACTCTATATTGTGTGTTTTTCATTATTGGACATAAATATTAAAAATTATGGATAACTCAAAATGATTCGTTTCTTCTCAGTAAAACCATCACAAGATTTTGAGTTTGTAAAAAAAAAAAAAATCATCGTTTCGAGGAACTTGTAGTGTGAACGTTACAGAAGAAAAGTGACTTACACAGTTTGTGATTTATAAAAGGTTGATAAATATTACCTTTGATATAATCGATACAGGTGTGTGTGTGTTTACTGATAACAACAAATAAACCGACTTGATGTAAACAACTATAAAGCGTTTACTCTGTTAACAATAGCAAGTTATACAAAAGATAAAACTAACATGTTTACGTAAGACTAGGAACGTTTGGTGTACTGAAAGAAATATAAATAACACAAAATTCTCTTCATTGTCAGAATAGTTCTCCTGGATATTGAAAGGAATGAATAGAACTCAGCCATTCATTACACACAGCAGGAGTAGACGAAGAATCACCCCATCAAAGATTACACATCAGCTTATTTCACCTGAAGATTAGCCACCCAAATTCTACCTGGTGGGTTAGATTAGCATTTGGGGGTGTCTAATCTTCAGGTAATCCGACGTGGGTTCAGGTTGCCAAGCTATAACACCGAGAGTTTATCAATAGGATACTAGACAGATTTCATTCGAGCCCATTGAGTGAGTTTTATCGAGAACATCTGAGCGCGTTCACTAGACAGAAGGCTGCGTTCACTAGACAGAGGGGTGCGTTCACTAGAGAAAGAAAGATAGAGGGTTGCGTTCATTGGAAAAACGTCGTCGCGTTCTCTACTCTGGGGCTTCGTTCATCACACTCTATAATGGTGTCGAATTCAGGGGTATAGCGAGGCGTGTCCTGACCTACTGACTCGGGCACACAGTAGGGTTTGTCGTGGGCTGAATCGGGTACACAGCAGGGGTCGTCATGGGCGCCTGACTCGGGCACACAGTAGGGTTTGTCGTGGGCTGACTCGGGTACACAGCAGGGGTCGTCATGGGCGCCTGATTCAGGCACACAACAGGGTTTGTCGTGGGCTGAATCGGGTACAGGGGGTCGTCATGGGCGCCTGACTCGGGCACACAGCAGGGTTTGTCGTGGGCTGACTCGGGTACACAGCAGGGGTCGTCATGGGCGCCTGATTCAGGCACACAACAGGGGTTATCGTGGCTCCCCGACTCGAGGACATAGCCATGGCGTCGTGAGACCTCTGGCGGCGTCTCTGGGGGCGTGAGATACGCCCTGAAGGTATCCTCGGAGGGCCGCGAGGCAAGGGGAAGGATGGGTGCAGTGGAGGAATCCTCAGATGTGTAGGACTCAAAAGATTCGAATGAGATCCTCCTGCCAGACGAACTGTCGCTACTGATGCCATCTGGAGAGAGAGAGCGAGTTAGTACTGGCGGGTCATAACAGGAGGATGACAAACACTGATGCAGTATAAAGTTAATGAGAAAGAAAGTAATTCATTCACTGTGTTAAGTGAGAGAGACAGTTATTTGTCTATGATATAAGTGAGAAACACACTGACTCACCTGGGGGGGGGGGTCAGGTCACCTAGGAGACTCACCTGAGATGAAGGAGAACTGGGTGACGGTGGACCACTGACTGCCAGCCCGGACTGCTCTGTGTGTTATCTGAGGCGACACCTTCATCGGCGACGGTACCCCTGCAGGAGGGCAAGAGGTCAGGAGGTCAAGAGGTCAATAGGTCAAGAAGTCAAGAGATTTAGAGGACAACGGGTCAAGAGGTCGAGAAGTCAAGAGGTCAGAAGGTCACCTTAAAGAACGTTCCAAGACAGTGGCTGAATCAAGATCGGGATGTGACGTCAGTGTAGGTCAGTGTGTCGTCAGGGCAGAAATATTATGCTACGTCACTCCCTCACCTCTCATCCCTCACCTCTCACTCCTCACACCTCACTTCTCACCTCTCATTCCTCATCCCTCACCTCTCCTCCGTCACCTCTCACTCCTCTTCCCTCACCTCTCACTCCTCATCTCTCACACCTCACTCCTCACTTCTCATCCCTCACCTCTCATCCCTCACCTCTCCTCCGTCACCTCTCACTCCTCTTCCTCACCTCATCCCCACCTCTCACCCTCATCTCACACCTCACCTCACCTCTCATCCCTTCCCTCTCACTCCTCATCTCTCACACCTCCACTCCTCACCTCTCATCCTCACCTCTCATCCCTCACCTCTCACCTCATCTCACACCTCACTCCTCACACCTCTCATCCCTCACCTCTCACCTCACACCTCACCTCTCACTCCTTCCTCTTCCCCACCTCTCCTCCTCATCTCTCATCCCTCACCTCCTCACACTCACCTCACCTCTCATCCCTCACCTCTCATCCCTCACCTCTCACTCCCTCACCCCATCCCCCTCACCTCTCACCACACCCCACCTCCCCCACTCCTCTTCCCTCTCTTCCCTCACCTCCTCTCCTCATCTCTCATCCTCACCCCTCTCACACCTCACTCATCACCTCTCATCCTCACCCTCATCCCCTCACCTCCTCACTCCTCACCTCATCCCTCACCTCTCACCTCACCTCTCATCCCCTCACCTCTCATCCCCACCTCACCTCATCTCTCACACCTCACCCCCACCTCATCTCCTCACACCTCACCTCACCTCTCATCCCTCACCTCCTCACTCCTCACCTCTCACTCCTCTTCCTCACCCTCTCACTCCCTCACACCTCACCTCTATCCCCACCCATCCTCACCTCTCACCTCATCTCTCACACCTCACCACCTCATCCCTCACCTCTCATCCCCTCACCTCCTCACCTCATCTCTCACACCTCACCTCACCTCTCATCCCCACCTCTCACTCCCTCACACCTCACCTCTCACCTCTCTTCCTCTTCCTCACCTCCCCCTCCTCATCTCTCATCCCTCACCTCTCACCTCACTCACCTCTCATCCTCACCTCTCATCCCCACCTCTCACCTCACCTCTCATCCCTCACCTCTCCTCCTCACACCTCACCTCTCACTCCTCTTCCCTCTCTTCCCTCACCTCTCACCTCATCTCATCCCTCACCTCTCACACTCACCTCACCTCATCCTCACCTCCCATCCCTCACCTCTCACTCTCACCTCCTCACCTCACCTCTCCTCCTCACCTCTCACCTCACCCCCATCCTCACCTCTCATCCTCACCTCATCCTCACCTCTCACCTCCCTCATCTCACACCTCACCTCACCTCTCACTCCTCACCTCTCACTTCTTCCCACCTCCACCTCATCTCTCACCTCACACCTCATCCTCACCTCTCATCCCTCACCTCTCACTCCTCATCTCTCACACTCCTCCTCACCTCATCCTCACCTCTCACACCTCACCTCTCACCCTCTTCCCCAACTCTCACTCCTCATCTCTCACCTACCTGTAGTTATCTGCGGCAGACGTGGTGAAGGTGCGGCAGTCGCAAGCGTTTTCCAGCTCTCCCGCACCTTGCTGTTCCTCCTGCGGCAAAATACTCTTTACTCCTACATTCTACTACTCTTAATTCCTACTCTTAATTCCTACTCTTAATTCCTACTCTTAATTCCTACTCTTAATTCCTACTCTTGATTCCTACTCTTAATTCCTACTCTTAATTCCTACTCTTGATTCCTACTCTTAATTCCTACTCTTAATTCCTACTCTTAATTCCTACTCTTAATTCCTACTCTTAATTCCTACTCTTGATTCCTACTCTTAATTCCTACTCTTAATTCCTACTCTTAATTCCTACTCTTAATTCCTACTCTTAATTCCTACTCCTCATTCCTACTTTTATAATAGGTCAAAATAATAGGTACTAGTATTAGAATGTGTTAGAATGATTAGCATAGGTGTTAGAAGGTGTTAATTAGCCACTCACCTGTTTACACCTGGGAATGTTCGTGAGGCGGAGGTGGTCATTCTTCTGTTGTGGCTCAGGTCACTGTAGGGAGGTCGTACCAGGTCAATAAGAGGGGTCGTACCAGGTCAATGAAGGGGTCGTACTAGGTCAATAAGGGAGGTCGTGCCAGGTCAATAAGGGAGGTCGTGCCAGGTCAATATGAGGGGTCGTAACGGGTCAATAAAGTGGTCGTACTAGGTCAATAAGGGAGGTCGTGCCAGGTCAATAAGTGGGTCGTACCAGATCAATATGAGGGGTCATGGGTCAATAGTGGAGGTCGTACAAGGAATAGAGGGGTCGTAACGGAGTCAATAAGAGGGTCGTACCAGGTCAATAAGGAGGTCGTGCCAGGTCAATATAAGGGGGTCGTACCAGGTCAATGAGTGGAGGTCGTGCAGGTCAATAAGAGGGTCGTGCCAGGTCAATAAGAGGGGTCGTGCCAGGTCAATAAGGGGTCGTACCTGAAACGACTCTTCCGATTCTCTAAAGATCTTACGTTGAAAATTTCTCTTAACTAATTGACTGAATTTAGGTAAAGTAAAAATGGTTGCCAAACTGTACCGAGACTCGACCTTAAATATCTAATTTACGAACAATGTATGTGTGTGTGCGTGTGTGTGTGTGTGTGTGTGTGTGTGTGTGTGTGTGTGTGTGTGTGTGTGTGTGTGTGTGTGTGTGTGTGTGTGTGTGTATGTATGTGTGTGTGTGTGTGTGTGTGTGTGTGTGTGTGTGTGTGTGTGTGTGTACAAGCAATAAACACAAACCTCCTCTGTACTGGCGAATGTGTTCCCTGGCGATCGTGGCAAAACGTGACTGATAATTGGTGGAGGGGAGTTGGCGATCACTGGAGCAAAATTGGCGATTATTTGAGCAAAGTTGGCGATCGTCTGAACAGATTTGGCGATCGCTGGAACTGCGGTGGTAATCTTTAGAGCAGAGTTGGCGATCGTTTGAGCAGAGTTGGCGATCGTCTGAGCAGAGTTGGCGATCGCTGGAACTGCGGTGGTAATCTTTAGAGCAGAGTTGGCGATCGTCTGAGCAGAGTTGGCGATCGCTGGAACTGCGGTGGTAATCTTTAGAGCAGAGTTGGCGATCGTCTGAGCAGAGTTGGTGATCATCTGAGCAGAGTTGGCGATCGCTGGAGCTACGGTGGTAATCTTTAGAGTAGAGTTGGCGATCGTTTGAGCAGAGTTGGCGATCGCTTGAGCAGAGTTGGCAATCGTCTGAGCAAAGTTGGCGATCGCTGGAACTGCGGTGGTAATCTTTAGAGCAGAGTTTGCGATCGCTTGAGCAGAGTTGGCAATCATCTGAGCAAAGTTGGCGATCGCTGGAACTGCGGTGGTAATCTTTAGAGCAGAGTTGGCGATCGCTTGAGCAGAGTTGGCGATCATCACAGTGGTGGCAATCGATGGAGGAACGTTGGCGATCACTATGGCGGAGTTGGCAAAGGCTATTGTTGGCGATAAATTGGCGATCGTCGACACAAAATTCTCCGCCGCTGTCGTGATGGTGGTGATGGTAGTGGCGAGCGTTGGAGCGGTGGTGGAGATCGAGGGAGAGAGTGGCGATCGAGGTAGGGCGAGGATGGAGAGTGGATCGCCTTCTGACCATGGTAGCTGAGCTGACGGGTGAGTTTTTCGTTGGCTGTGAGAGAGAGAAAGAGAGAGAGAGAGAGAGAGAGAGAGAGAGAGAGAGAGATAATATTTAATAACTATAAATAAATAGACACATTGCAGAACTAGTTACTTGGTAGGTAGTGAACTAATTACTAGGAGCGTACTCACCTTAACGCCCAGGTATTTGGAGACACCTGGCGGAAGGCTGACAATGACGGCCGAGCGAACACTATCGTTCACCAGGCAGTGAAGCACCAGGATCATCACCCCCTAGTGAGAGAGAGAGAGAGAGAGAGAGAGAGAGAGAGAGAGAGAGAGAGAGAGAGAGAGAGAGAGAGAGAGAGAGGTAAACACCCTTATTAGACCATTATACTATAAATCGTGTATATACTCTTATTAAACCCTTCTATATAAATTTGCATATCCCAAAGTATAGGTTAGGTTAGGTTAGGTTAGGTTAGGTTAGAGTTAAGGGTTTGGGTTAGGTTAGGTTAGGTTAAGGTTAGGTTAGGTTAGGTTAGGTTAGGTTAGGTTAGGTTGGATTATATTAGGTTAGGTTAGGTTAGGTTATATTAGGTTAGGTTAGGTTAGGTTAGGTTAGGTTAGGTTAGGTTAGGTTAGGTTAGGTTATATTAGGTTAGGTTAGGTTAGGTTAGGTTAGGTTAAGGTTGGGTTAGATTAGGTTAGGTTGGGTTGGGATTATATTAGGTTGGGTTAGGTTAGGTTAGGTCAGGTCAGGTTAGGTTAGGTTAAGTTAGGTTATATTAGGTTAGGTTAGGTTAGGTTAGGTTAGGTTAGGTTTGGGGTTAGGTTATATTAGGTTAGGATTGGGTTGGTTAAGATTTGGGTTAGGTTAGGTTAGGTCAGGTTAGGTTAGGTTAGGTTAGGTTAGGTTAGGTTAGGTTAGGTTAGGTTAGGTTAGGTTAGGTTAGGTTAGGTTAGGTTAGGACAGGTATAGATGTTAATGACTTACCTGTGAGGCGTTGAGGATGGTGAATAGGTAGGCGAAAAAGTGTCCAGTGTTGACATAGAGAAGTCCGAACACCCAGGACGTCCCCAGGAGACAGTTGAGGGAGAAGCATCCTTTGATCCATAACCTGAGGGAGGAAGGAGGGAGATATATCTTTTCTTTATCTTTTCTTGTTTTGTTTCTTTCTCTGTTGTCTCTCTCTCTCTGTTTCTCTGATCATCATCGTTTTTCTCTCCCCATATTCCTTACTCTCTCTCTCTCTCTCTCTCTCTCTCTCTCTCTCTCTCTCTCTCTCTCTCCCAAGCCCTCCCTCCTAACCTAACCTAAACTAACCATCCTTCCCACCTAACCATACCATCCTTCCCACCTAACCTAAACTATCCTTCCCACCTAACCTAACCATCCCTCCCACCTAACCTAACCATCCTAACACTCACTTCACTTGTTGAGGGAGACTCTTCTGTTTATTGGCTTTCAGGATGGCGGCAGAGCGTACGGCTAAGATCATGCTCAAGGCGTTTACCTGAGGGAGAGACACACCTGTTGAGAGGTCACACTTGGAGGTCACACTTGGAGGTCACAGTTGGAGGTCATACTTGGGGGTCATACTTGGAGGTCACATTTGGTCATACTAGGAGGTCATACTTGGAGGTCACATAGAATCACACTTGGAGGTCACATAGAATCACACTTGAAGGTCATATTAGGTCATACTAGGAGGTCATACTTGGAGGTCACATAGAATCACACTTGGAGGTCACATTAGGTCATACTAAGAGGTCACACTTGGAGGTCACATAGAATCACACTTGGAGGTCACGTGAGGTCATACATGAGGTCACACTTGGACGTCACATTGAATTACACTTGGAGGTTATGCTTGGAGGTCAAATTTAGAGGTCATACTTAGAGGTTACACTTGAGACTGACACTTAATGACATTGAATCACTTATTGTTTAATTTAACAATAATAAACATATAGTTATAATTAATTTAACCATAATTTGCATATCAACTAACATTCAGTTAATTAACCTTTACTAATTGCTATGACACAAGTTCATTTACTACCACCACCCCCACCTACCACCACCCACCTACCACCACCCCCACCTACCACCCCACCACCACCCCCACCTACCACCACCCCCACCTACCACCCCACCTACCACCCCCCACCTACCACCCCACATACCACCACCCACCTACCACCACCCCCCACCTCAACCATCACCCACCTCAACCATCACCCACCTCAACCATCACCCACCTCAACCATCACCCACCTCAACCATCACCACCTACCACCACACCCACCTACCACAATCATCATCCACTACCCTCAACCACTACAATTATCACCTACCACAATCACCATCACCATAGGTCCAATGAAAGCCCAGATGTAGCCTCGTTCAGTAGACAACCAGCAACTGAAGTAAACAGAAAGTAAACAATAAACAGCTATTCCATTGTTTACCTGTACACACGTAGTAAACACAACCAGGATACAGTGGGGGATACAGTGACTCATATCAAAATACAGCTTGGATACATCAGATACATACACGTGTACTGTATACTTACTACTCACTGCCTGGGGGAGCGTAAGCAAGTTGGTCTGTCCAAGAATCTGAACCATACGCCACTAGGAGAGTAACCATCACCACCACCACAGGCACACCGTAACCCACCATCCTAGGGGGGGGCGGAAAGTTAAGGTGGGGGCGGAAAGTTGGTTAGTGGGGGCGAAAGTTGGTTAGTGGGGAAGGAAAGTTGTTAGTGGGGGCGGAAAGTTGGTTAGTGGGTGGAAAGTTGATCATCGTGGAAATGGAAGGTGTCAAACCCACACATATGGGAATATTTTTTCTGCCTTTCTGCCTCTTCTTCTGTCTATTTCTCTGTCAGTTTATGTCTGTCTTCTCTCTCTCTCTCAGTCTATCGACCTCAATAATCTCTTCCCTTATGTCTCACGTACAAGAAGGAGAGGTGAGAACATGACAGTTTGAAGAGACCACTGTGTAAATATAAATCCCGTCTCTTCTCTCTCTCTCTCCCTCTCTCAACTATCAATCTCATTAATCTTCCTTATGTCTCCACGCACAAGAAGGAGTAGGTGAGAGAACATGACACAGTTTGTAAGAGACCACTGTGTAAATATAAACTGCCCTCTTCTATCTTCTCTCTCTCTCTCCCTTCCCCTTTCTCACATTCTTTATCACTTCACGTAACTAAACAAACAAGAGAGAGTTAAAAATCTCACAAAACACTCACCAGTAAGCTGCCATATAGCGGGTCGGTGACAGAACATGATGAACTGTTTGGAAGAGATGTGCTCCCTCGGCCAGCATCCAACACACACTCGCGGTCACCCAGTAATGGAGGACGATCGCTGCCACCTCACACACGGTCTAATGCAAACAGGGGATAGTCACGTCTCCATCTACCTAAGAGGTTATATACACAGGTTATCTTTACAGCTTCTTCTCTCTCAAGTAAAACGTTCAAGACACAAGAGAGAGAGAGAGAGAGAGAGAGAGAGAGAGAGAGAGAGAGAGAGAGAGAGAGAGACTCACCGAAGACAGCTTGAGGAAGTCACGATCCAGCAGCAGTAGCAGAAGAAGGTGTGAGAGACCGAGGGCCACACACAGTTGTTTGGTGATGCTGGTGCGAGGGCTGGCCACACTCCTAGGCCACACACACAGGAAGAAATAATTCATAGGTTAATTATTAATCTAATGTGAAATCTGTTGAATCATCATCATCATCATCATCATCATCACTCACTTGTAACACTGGAAGATGCAGAAGGCGATGAAGAGGGACACGCAAGAGGCACCAGTCAGTACAGTGCCCAGTATATCCAATGCAGGATCCCGACCCTAGAGGAAGAACCACAGTTACCACATGAGCGAGGAAACCCTTGTGTGTATATATACGTAATGTACATACACACAAACACGTACAGTATGTAAATAAACACACACCTATCCTATCTCAACATCTCCATCTCCAACATCCACACTACCCACACATGCCCCCCCCACACCTACGACCCCCCCCACACCCACACTCCCCCACACCACAACCGCATCCAGCCCATACGTGCACGAACTGATTGGTATATAAGAACAGCCCAGTCCCAACCATTGTAAAAAATTATCAATAACATGTAATAAATCCGCGTATTCACTCCCCAAACACTTCGCCCCACACTGTCACTATGTTGAAAATGAACTGTAGTTTGAGCTGATCCCATCTAAGTTATTTTCTTGAAGCGTCTTATTTGTGTCACTTATGTCACTTGTATATTATTTGTAATTCGTAACCCATTCCCCAAATATGTAACTGTATTTTCAGCCTTCTGGCTGCCAAGCTTCTTTTCAATAAACCGTTAATTATTATTATTATTATTATATTCCAGGTCCGTGCTGTCAACATAAGACCATGTTATGACTTGGCTGGAGGACCTTTATATTATTCACTCTCGTTAATGGCGTTTATTCAATAATGTCGGATCACCTGGAAGATTAGCCCTCAGCTTATTTTACTGAAAGATTAATCACCTTAAAGTTTAATTAATTCCCAGGTAAATGCTTGGTGCCTTACTCTTCAGTTGCAACATCTAGGTAGGTGTAACCTCAGTGATGCAATTAGTCTTATGTACCTGTATGTGTGTATTGACTCAGTAGGTGTAACAGACTCATTAAGGGAGTCTCAGTAGGTGTGACAGACTCATTATGGGAGACTCAGTAGGTGTAACAGACTCATTATGGGAGACTCAGTAGGTGTAACAGACTCATTATGGGAGACTCAGTAGGTGTGACAGACTCATTATGGGAGACTCAGTAGGTGTAACAGACTCATTATGGGAGACTCAGTAGGTGTAACAGACTCATTATGGGAGACTCAGTAGGTGTGACAGACTCATTAAGGGAGACTCAGTAGGTGTGACAGACTCATTAAGGGAGACTCAGTAGGTGTAACAGACTCATTAAGGGAGACTCAGTAGGTGTAACAGACTCATTAAGGTTGACTCAGTAGGTGTGACAGACTCATTAAGGGAGACCAAGAGAGACAGTAACTCACGACATTGTTGTGAAAGTCGGTGATGATGGCGATCATGGTGAGGTGGGAACAGCGGCAGAAGGTCAGCCCTTTTGTTGTGTTTACTAACTTGCAACCGTCAGGAGCCCACTCGCTGCCAGCCGCACGACCAACACAAACACACAGGTGAAAGGGAGAAGTTATCGTACCAGGTAAACAAGGGCACCAGGTCAGGGGATATTGTATAATGTACTGCCAGACGAAAGAGTAATACAGATGTAATAAAGATGTGTCATTATGTTATGTCAACGAAGGTAAGAGGGATTGTTTTAGGTATCATTATGAAAACAGCGGTACTGATGGCTGTCATGATGGCTGTCATAAACTTGTGACGGGGAAAGGTAAACAAAGCCAACACGGAGATGCTACTTTACTGTGTACTTTGTAAATACCAGTAAGTGTTTTTAATGAGTTTCAGTGTTGTCAGTACCTGTTTTCGTTATCCCAGAAGACACACTGGGCAGTACCTGGCACCGGTGTGGGCAGCTCATCAGGTCGCAGGTCCCGGTACAGGTCTCTGCCAGGAAGATAATAACTCACCTTAGTTAATTACTTCACAGATAATTTATCCAGACAATCAATTCATGGCCTTTACGGAGAGAGAGAGAGAGAGAGAGAGAGAGAGAGAGAGAGAGAGAGAGAGAGAGAGAGAGAGAGAGAGAGAGAGAGCTTGAAGGAGGATCCAAACGAAGGAAGACCCACCTGAAGGAGGACCCACCCGAAGGAAGACCCACCCGAAGAAGGACTTACCTGTAGGCTGGGCCGCTCTCACTGATGGTGTGTTGGAGACGTAGGAGAACACCTTCATCCAGGGGCGTGAAGCTGACCGCATGACCTGACCTCCCCAGAGACATGCTTACCACGGGGCTGTTGAGTTCCTTGTAGGTGGCGTGAGAGACGTCCCTGCGGAGTGAAGGGCGTGATGAACATAGCAGAAGTAGAACAAAATGAACAATAAACGTGATAGATGAAGATAATGAACAATAAACACGAAATACAGATTATAAAGGCACAATGACAATGAACGCGTCAGATGTAGAATAAAAAAGCTTGATAAATGAGGGAGAAATGGGATAGATGTGAGAGCAAAAGGTTGAATACTGTAGCTACCTCACGACCGCTTGAGACATGGGGAGGGAAATGGAAAGAAAATATGGGAAGTATATTGTAAAAACGAGTGAGAACTTAGATAAGGAGTACGTAGGAGAGAGAGAGAGAGAGAGAGAGAGAGAGAGAGAGAGAGAGAGAGAGAGGAGAGAGAGAGAGATCCTCCACCTGTCACCAACACTACTCGGAAATATCGTCGCTGGATTTACAAAAAAATGTGGACGAGGAGAACTACAACGAGACGTACGTGCGTTACAGGCGTGTAAGGGGGAGGGGGCGTGTAGGCGGCGTGTGTGGGCGAGGGAAGCTTGCAGGAGGCGTGTGTAGGCGAGGGAAGCGTGCAGGAGACGGGGTAGGCGAGGAAGCTGCAGGAGGCGTGTGTAGGCGAGGGAAGCGTGCAGGAGACGTGTGGGGGGAGGGGAGGCGTGTAGAGAGAGAGGGGAGGTGGAAGCGTGCAATAGGAGGCGTGGGAGAGGGAGACGTGCAATAGGAGGCGTGGGGGAGGGTGGCGTGGTGAGGATGGCACACAGGTAGACAGGACTAATTAACCTTCTCTGTTACCTGTCTCGGTCTGTCTGGCAGGGGAAGTCATTTTTCTTACCTTTGCTCTAATTAATTTAAGTGTTTGGGTCAGTCAGGTTACATTAGGTGGCTAGTGGTGGTTTAACACTATCATATCGCTTACTAGTGTTGTTGTTGTTGTTGTTGTTGTTGTTGTTGTAGTTATTATTATTGTTGCTGTAGTTATTATTATTGCTATTGTTGTTATTATTATTGTTACTGTTCTTATCATTATGCCTGCCTGCCTGACTGACTGACTGACCTGCTGAGGTGAGCTGGAAGAGCCCTGGAAGCTGCCTGCTGGTCGAGGAGGAAGCCCACCAGCCGCGCCTGCTCCTCCCCCTTCGGCAGTAGAGACTCAAAGCCCCCAGGGAGGTGGAGGAAGGTAGATTCTCCAGCTCCAGGGAAGTACAGGTCATTCCCTGACAGCTCGTTCCTGCAGGAGAAATGCCAGAGGTTAGGGTAAGGTAGGGTAGGGTAGGGTAGGGTAGGGTAGGGTAGGGTAGGGTAGGGTAGGGTAGGGTAGGAGTAGAGTAGAGTAGGGTAGGTTAGGGTTAGGTTAGGGTAAGGTTAAGTAAGGGTAGGGTAGGGTAGGGTAGGGTAGAGTAGGGTAGGGTAGGGTAGGGAAGGGTATGGTAGGATAGATTAGATTAGGTTAGATTAGGTTAGGTTCCTGGGTCGTGTCAGGGCTCCAGAATGTATAACTCATCTTGAAAACTTAATGAAACTGACCTGGGAGAGGAGAGGACAGTCATGTTGACCTGAGCGTCAAGGAAGGTCACCACATCACGTTTGACCTGATCTGCCAAGATGAACCCAGAACACTCTAGGTTAATCAGCAGCGATGACCCTAGTTGACCCGCGTCCCTCTGGTGGTGAGAGAGGGAATGAGAGAGAGAGTGTGTGTGTGTGTGTGTGTGTGTGTGTGAGAGAGAGAGAGAGAGGGAGAGTGTATGAGAGAAGGGGGATCAGAGAGAGAGAGAGAGAGAGAGAGAGAGAGAGCATGTGTAAACAACAGATATGTCCTAGAGGTGTGTGAAGGAAGGAAACATATCCAAACAACAGGTGTGTAGGGTCAAAAAAGTCACATATAAACAGGTGTGTAGAGAGAACAAGTGTGGGGAGACAATACACACCTGGTTGAGACCGTGCCAGGTGTCAGGAACGGAGAGAACGTTGCCAGTGATCGCCACCAGGTCATCAGTATAGTTTAGGGCCATTGATAGTCTCTCCTCTTCCTTTTTCTCCTCCAGTATCTGTGTGTCAAGGGCGAGTTATTCCAAGGGTTAGCTGTGTCAAGGGGCGTGTCCATAGGTGTGTCAAGGGGCGTGTCCATAAGTGTGTCAAGGGGCGTGTCCATAGGTGTGTCAAGAGACGTGTCCATTAGTGTGTCAAGGGGCGTGTTCGTTGGTGTGTCAAGGGGCGTGTCCATAGGTGTGTCAAGAGGCGTGTCCATAAGTGTGTCAAGGACTATTTATTTCAAGGGTTAGGTGTGTCAAAGGGGGTGTCAAGGGCAGTGTACATCCATTGGTTTTACGGTAATTATTTCCTCATCCAACTGCACATGTTTAGATCACCTGAAAATTAGACACCCTAGCTTATTTTACCTGATGATTCAACAGCTTGTAATTCCGTAACCTTAACTTAACCTAAATTAACCTTACCTTAACCTAAACCTTAATCTAGCCTTAATCTAACCACAAACTTTAACCTAACTTTAACCTAATCTTAACCTAATCTAATCCATCTAGGTTGCATTAGAGTGTTTAATCATCAAGCAAAATAATCTGGGGTGTCTAAAAATCAGGTGATACTTACACATATCACAGAATATTCTCCAGTCTTTTAAACTATTTTTATTACTATTATTAACTTGATTAAACCTTAACTAATTACAAAAGGTTTATTCATTTTGTTTTTCATTCACTATCATCATAAGTTTTCGTTCGTGTATATTATAATTTATTCACCTCAACTTATGAAACAAAACTTAAACAAATATGTGTTTTATTTTTTTTTTCAGGACGACTGTTGGGCTTTTCGCAGATCAGGTGAGGAAAAAAATGGCAAATTGTTTTTTATGCAAATGAGCTTCCGGTAAGGTCATGGAGAGGTGGGGGGTAGGTGGGCAAGGAGGGAGGGGTAGGGGAGGACAGGGAGGTAAGGAGGGAGGGGTAGGTGAGGGGAGAGGGAGGGGGAAGAGGGGGAGGTGGAAGGAGAGAGGGGCAGGGAGGAGAGGTGAGGGGGGGGTGAGGGGAGGTGGTATGAGGGAGGGTAGGGGAGGGACAGGTGAGAGGGTGGGGGGGTAGGTGGTAAGGAGCGAGGGGTAGGGGGGGTACAGGTGGGAGGGGGGGGGTGAGGGGGAGGTGGATATGAGGAGGGGGTAGAGGAGAGGGGAGGGGGGTGAGGGGAGGGGAAGGAAAGGAGGGAGGGGTAGGTGTGGAGGAGAGATGGGGGGTGAGGGGAGGTAGGAGTACAGCCCCTTAATTACTGACACTTACCTAAAATACAACACATTATTACCAATTCCCTAAGACGAGAAACCACAATAATCTCTACCATTTTGTACCCTGTTACACGTTATTACACGATGTTGCAACGAGGAGCTGACCTGAATTTGCAAGAGTGAGGTCATGTTGTTGATGAGACTGGTGAGGGCGATCAGGTCATTACGGGTCATGACCTGCCGCTGGGCTGTGCTGTTCCTGATCCCCGCTGAGATGGCCACAGCTGAGTAGTTACCTGACTCAACCTGTAGAACCAAACAGCTGATTATTGTTTACCTCCCTCTCTCTCTCTCTCTTATCACCCCACCTCTTTCTCCCTCTTATTATCCCCCCTCTATATCTATATCTCTCTTCTCTTGACACCCCACCCTTTCTCCCTCTTTCTCCTCCTCTCCCCTCTGTCCCTCTTATCACACCCCACCTTAGCCTCTCCCCTCCTTCTCACCACATATCCTGGGCCGGATCCAGAAGACGATGGAGGAGTCCTTGTCCACCGTCAGATAGCCTCCGTCAGTAGCGCAAGCAACACACTCCAGCCACCTGAAGCCACTGTAACCTGTCGGGCAAAGTTCACCTCCATTTGTTATTCCGGCACAGCACCCTCTGGCCCCTGTAGCCCCGGGAGACGTGGTGCTGTGGAGAGATAGAGAGATAGATAAGAGGGAGATAGATACTTATGAGATAAATGAGAGAAAGAGACATAATTGGGAGATAAATAGAGAGATAGAGAGACAGGGAGAGAGAGAGGAGAATTAGATAGAATAAATGGATAGATTAAAAATTAGCTAGACACACACACACACACACACACACACACACACACACACACACACACGCTCACACACACACACAACTCTCTTGTATGTTATTGTAACCCGGAATTATATATCAAACAAGAGAAATCATTGATATGTAACCCGCCTGTCATAATGTTTTTTCTCCCAGTACTACCTGCCCTTGTCTCGTGGGGTCCCTCACCTCCTGTACATGACAGCATCCTGGAAAAAGAAAAATTATTGTTATACCTGTAGGATTCCGTATTCAAGGTGAGGTGAGATGAGGTGAGGTGAGGTGAGGTGAGGTGAGGTGAGGTTTGGACTCCTGTGAACTTTCTTAAGACTGCAATATTTTCAACAAAATTACTATTACTATTAACTATTACAATAAACTGACTATTATTACTATCCTGTATTAATATAACAAGTTACTTACCATCGTTAATGATCATAGTAGTAGTTGTAGTACCAGCG